AGATTTATAGAAGCTGTCCTGATTTCTGATTTGATCCCCAAAGTCCCACTTTTCCTTAGGTAAAGTGACCCCTGACCATTAGGTCCAGTCATGACTGACTCTGGGGTTGAGGCGCTCATCTCGCTTTATTGGCCGAGGGAGCTGGCGTACAGCTTCCGGGTCATGTGGCCAGCATGACTAAGCCGCTTCTGGCGAACCAGAGCAGCGCACGGAAACGCCGTTTCCCTTCCCGCCAGAGCAGTACCTATTTATCTACTTGCACTTTGACATGCTTTTGAACTGCTAGGTGGGCAGGAGCAGGGACCGAGCAACGGGAGCTCACCCTGTTGCGGGGATTCGAACCGCCGACCTTCTGATCTGCAGGTCCTAGGCTCTGTGGTTTAACGCACAGCGCCACCCGCATCCCCACTTTTCCTTAGGACATCCCTTTTTTCATCAGAGAAATGTTGGAGGGCATGGTTATGCGACCCCCCAACCCAAGGGAACGAGTAATTATACAACCTTTAGGAGACATCTGAAAGCAGGGATTTTTTAAAAAAAGTTTTAATGCTTTATTGTGTTTTTATATACGTATGTTAAAAGTGGCTGGGGCAACCCGGTCAAGTGCATGGGGTAGAAATAATAAAATGATGATGATGATGATGGAATTGTTGTTGTTGTGTAGTCGTTTAGTCGTGTCCGACTCTTCGTGACCCCGTGGACCAGAGCACGCCAGGCACTTCTGTGTTCCACTGCCTCCCGCAGTTTGGTCAAACTCATGCTGGTAGCTTCGAGAACACTATCCAACCATCTTGTCCTCTGTCGTCCCCTTCTCCTTGTGCCCTCCATCTTTCCCAACATCAGGGTCTTTTCCAGGAGTCTTCTCTTCTCATGAGGTGGCCAAAGTATTGGAGCCTCAGCTTCAGGATCTGTCCTTCCAATGAGCACTCAGGGCTGATTTCCTTAAGAATGGATAGTGTTTGATCTTCTTGCAGTCCATGGGACTCTCAAGAGTCTCCTCCAGCACCATAATTCAAAAGCATCAATTCTTTGGCGATCAGCCTTCTTAATGGTCCAGCTCTCACTTCCATACATCACTACTGGGAAAACCATGGCTTTAACTATACGGACCTTTGTTGGCAAGGTGATGGAATAGGATGTCCCTATTTTTATCGGAGAAATGTTGGAGCGTATGCAGGACGTGGTGCGGGGGGGGGGGCGTGCCAAGGGTTGCCCCTGTAGTGTGTGTACACATCTACACAAACTGGTTTCGAAATGCTCTTCCTCCAGGGAAGCTGCTTTTTAGGGAGCTGTCTGGCTTCACTTCCTTTCCAAGCTACTGCTGAGTCTGGGCAGCGTTCCTACAATTAGGAGCAAGTCAGAAGGTGTGAAAGGGGCATCTCCAACACAGGTTTTTTTTAAAGCCCCTCCCGCATGGCGGTGACCAGGGCAGGGAATGGAGTGGACAGCAAGTGTCAGAGGAGCACAGGCGAGGCATGCGGAGGACCAGGGAATCCTGCCCTAAGCCCAGCTTCCCGTGTTTTGTCCCGCTGACAAAGCACCCAAAGCCCTGGAAGGTTTAGGGCTGAATGGGAGAGCCAGTTCCCAGCGTGGCCCTGCGCCAAGTCCGGCAGCGAGTGGCCTGGCCGCATTATCGGCCGGACCTGATGAGCTCGGCACTTCCTTTTCAGCCAGCCCTGGAGACAGGCCTTAGCAACACAAACAGGAAGTTCAGAGGTCAAGGGCCTGAAAAACACCCGCCGGCGGACGAGGCTCCGGGCTAAGCCAGCCGGGAACGGAAGGAAGGAAGGAGGCCGGAGGGTCCCGGCCGATGGAGGCAGTTCCTGAGAAAGGCCCTGGCCTGCAGCCGCCTCGGGGCGGAGCCACGCAAAGCAGGGCTTGGCACAGAAATGGGAGCCCCTGTCTCCCAGCACAACCCCATACGCTTTCATCTCCAGCTGTTTTTCAGGAAGGCGGCCGGCAGCTTGCAGGATTTATAAAATGCAAGCCCCACAGTGAACATCCTCATGCGTCAGTGTTGGAGAAATGTTGGAGGGTATGGAGTTTATCCGACCCCCAAGCCATCTGAAGGCAGCCCTTCAGATGAAAAAAAGTTAAATATTTTATTATGTTTTTATATATATTGGAAGCCGCACAGAGTGGCAACCCAGTCAGATGGGTGGGGTATAAATAGTAAAATTGTTATTATTATTATTATTATTATTATTATGGAATAGGACCTTTGGCACCCAGTGCAGGTGAACCAGTCGCGCTCCCCTAAATCCACCTTTGATCCCATCCTTTCCCATTCATTTTCCTGACATTTTCCTTATTGCATAAAGCACGCTGGGGGGTGAAAGGAGTTTAAGAGCTCCACATGGTCCTCAGTTGTACAAGCATTTGCCTAATGGAGCAGAGTTTTGACCCACCACAACCCACCTGGTTGTTGTGGTCATGAGGGGAGACCCCTCTCCAAACCCCTGCACAATTCGAGGTCCCGTGGGTGGTTGGCAGCAGCCCCCAGGCCTCTCCTAAATACCTTATTTACGTGAATGTAATGCACCATTGAATCTCATGCGCACCCTAATTTCCATGACGTACCGGTAATTTGGCCCAAACTTGTGTTGCATTCGAGTAAATACAGTAGTCTGCCCATCATCACTTTACACACTGGGATATGACAATACAAACAAAGTTTTCAAAAATAAGAAATAAAACAAAGCTACACAAAGCATTTCAAAACAGGCCCAATTTAGAACGAGCTGCCATTAAAAACTGTTGTTTTAGTCAAGCGCCATCTTTCAGCCCCGGCAGAGGGCCAAAACATGAGGCAGCATGATGCCCTCGTCCTCTGAGCGGCTGGCACTGAGATCTTGCCAGGCACGGCTCAGCTCCGAAGCCATGAGGGAGAAGAACCTGGCTTTTGGGAAGGAGATGCTTCAAGAGTCAGGAAGCAGCAGAAGTCAGGAGCAGGTTTTCCACTGGTGCAACACAAACAAGCAAGCAAACAAACCAACAAACCAACAAACAGGTGTGCTTGTGTACAGGCCAGTGGCCAAATCCTTCACAGACAGAACCAGTCAGGGAGGAAACAGGCCCAGTTTAAATGCAACCCAGTTTAAAGGGATGTCAAAAACAACCACCATCCTCCTGTGATCAGAAGGACCATAGCAACAGAGCACCTGCTTTGCATGCAGACGGCGCCAGGTTCCATCTCCAGGCAGGGCTAGGAATGCCTCTTGCCCGAAACCCTCAGCTGCGTGCACCAAGAGTCCAACGGGGTAGGAGGCAGATTCCTACGTTCCCCTACTCCAGCGCATTGGCAGCAAGACAGGCAGTTCTAGGGCAGCAACACAGCCAAGGCTGAATGGCGTTCATTGCAGGGCCTGGAACGTGCCTGAGCAGGCCTTGCTTGTACGCAGTGCCACTTCCATGTCATTCCTCATCAGTTCATCATCCTCCGGGGTTTAGCGTGTCAGAAACCTGTAACATGTTGTAAACAAAAATCTGCCCTTTTCCCCTTATGGGGTATCCAAGAGCCCATATAGAGTCCTTATGTAGGTTCCCTATAGGTAGGAGAAAATAACAGAGGCCAACCAGAGAATATTGAGAAGCAAAGCAGCTAGTAAGCCTGATCTTTATTGATCTGTTGCAACAGGATCCTCGCTCACCACACGCAGGAGAGAGGAGGAACCCAGAACAATGGCATGCAAGACTTTCTTCCTGTGCTGATCTATGTACGTGCTTGGTTGGCACACTTATGAACATTTAACATATATCTAAGACCTCAAAATTCCTATCACAAACGCGAGAGCTGGGAGTGCCTCTGGGCATGCACAGAGTGACTATCTCGCTCAGTGCTGAGTAACCCCGACCAGGCCCTGCACATCTGGAAGAAGAAGAAGATGAAGAGTTTGGATTTGATATCCCGCTTTATCACTACCTGAAGGAGTCTCAAAGCAGCTAACATTCTCCTTTCCCTTCCTCCCCCACAACAAACACTCTGTGAGGTGAGTGGGGCTGAGAGACTTCAGAGAAGTGTGACTAGCCCAAGGTCAACCCAGCAGCTGCAGGTGGAGGAGCTGGGAATCGAACCCAGTTCACCAGATTATGAGTCCACCGCTCTTAACCACTACACCACACTGGCTCTCACTGGAGTGAGGGGATCGAGCGAGCACCGAGCCAACACCTTTAGGGGCTCCTCCACTTGGCCCCCAGCCGTTCCCTTCCCTCCCTCCTCCCCCATGTAAGGATCCCACAACAAAGAGATACGATGTTCTGCCCTGGCTGAGGTAGGCAAAGCCTCCGTCTCGCAGGTGTGCTATTCCACCCACTCCCCACATCCCTCAAAAGAGCCTGGGGGATTCCTCTTCCAGGCAGGTGCCAGGAACTAAGTCCCGCACAGCTGAGCCCTGGATAGAGCAGGATTACTGCAGCTGCTGGCGCTGAGCCCCTTTCCGGGCTGGACTAACAAGCAGGTGTCATTGGTGCTGGAGCTGCTGCGTGCCCAGCTGAGACGCAGCCGAGGGTGCCCTGTGGCAAAGCTGTTTCATGAAAAAGAAAAAAGCAGCTGGCAAGCCCCCTCTGCTGGCACCTGCCCATGTTCAGGAAAAGGAGACACTGCCAATCAAACATGGCAAGGCGTTTATGTGTATGTGCTGCTATTAGAAAATAAAAGAGCCATATTGTTTTTATTTGACTAAACACCTGCTTCTTAAACAATCAACTTGATTAAATTTAAGACCCTTATTTTTACTAACACCTCCGTATAGCTCAGTTGGCTAGAGCGTGGAGCCTGATCACACCAAGGTTGCAGGTTCGATCCTCGTATGGCACAGCTGCATATTCCTTGCATTGCAGGTGGCTGGACTAGATGATGCTCAGGGCCCCTCTAGAATTCTATGGTTCTAATTCTATCACCCCGAGGGCACATACACACCTGGTGAACCTTCTGGGGGACACATGTCATAGTGCTAGAGTGGGTGGGCGGGGAGGGGCTGTTCAGAGAAGGGATTGCAGAAGGGCTGTGGCTCAGAGGCAGAACACGTGCCCGGCATGCGGAAGGATCCAGGTTCGACCCCAGGCAGCACCTCCAGGTGAGAGGGAGCCCTGGAGTCCTGCCCGTCAGGGGAATAGTAAGCTGGGTGGAACAGAGGTCTAAAGGCAGCTTCTTGTGTTCTTTCCAATAATAATAATACATTTTTATTTATACCCTGCCCTCCCCGGTTCAGAAAACCAGGCTCAGGGCGGCTAACAAATTTAAAACACTTAATTGATGCAACAAAAAACAGCATAAAATACCGTATAAAATGTGAATAACAATAAATTCAATTTAGGGGGGAAATCCATCCAATAAACATTAGATGATCACCAGGGCTAGCTGGCTAAATTAGTCCTATTTGGGCCAGCGAGGAGACCAGGGGAGAATTAGCTGTGGGATCCCAGAGCGGGTAATCTTCATAAAAAGGGGAGGGGGAGGGAAGGAAGGGGAATAAAAGATCAGGCTAAGTTCAAATTGAAAGCCAGGCGGAATAGCTCTGTCTTACAGGCCCTGCAGAAGGAAGTTAAATCCTGCAGGGCCCTGGTCTCATGGGACAGAGCATTCCACCAGGTTGGAGCCATCACTGAGAAGGCCCTGGCCCTGGTGGAGGATAATCTGACTTCCTTAGGGCCCAGGACCTCTAAACAATGATTATTCATGGACCTTAAGGTTCTCTGCAAGGCATACCAGGAGAGGTGGTCCCGTAAATATGAGGGCCCTAAGCCATAATACAGCCACAGTTGGGAGCCAGAGAGAGAGGCCAACCCTGAGCTGGTGGACCAAGATGCTTATAGAATCAGAGAGTTAGAAGGTACCCCGAGGGGCATCTAGACCAACCCCCTGCGATGCAAGAATCCTGCCCACAGCCGTCCCTGAGTGGGCTCGAACCACCAACCTTCTGGTTAACAGCCAGGTGTGCTGACCCATTGCGCCACTGGGGGGTGGGACTGATTCAGTAGCCAAGCGCCTCTTGCCTTCTGAAGGGTAGAGCCTCTGCAGCTGGGACCCTTGACCATTAGGTCCAGTCGCGGACAACTCGGGGGTTGCGTGCTCATCTCACTCTATAGGTCAAGGGAGCCGGTGTTTGTCTGCAGACAGCTTCTGGGTCATGTGGCCAGCATGACTAAGCCGCTTCTGGCGAACCAGAGCAGCACACAGAAACACTGTTTACCTTCCCACCAGAGCGGTACCTATTTATCTGCTTGCACTTTGAGGTGCTTTCGAACTGCTAGGTTGGCAGGAGCAGGGACCGAGCAACGGGAGCTCACTCCGTCGCGGGGATTCGAACCGCCAACCTTCTGATCGGCAAGCCCTAGGCTCTGGTTTAACCCACAGCGCCACCCGCATACCTTTGCACTTCCTTACAACAGGGGAAATCCTACTGCGCAGAGGGAGGCTTCTGTGGCACAACTGACCCCTGGATTTTGCCCCCCAACTACTTTGCCAGATTTCTCTCCCCTTGCCTCCTGCAATGTTTCTTTCTAAGCCGAAGAGGCCATTAGGAATCAACCCTTCAGGGAAAAGGCCTCTCAAAGGGCTGGCGGCCAGCTGCAGACCTCTGCGAAGGAAAGGCAGCACTCTGCACATGCTTAGGGACACGACTGCTTAACGTGAATCGTGGCGGTGAAAGTCCTGCTGTACAAAGGAGGTCCGGGCATCCAGCTGGGCTGTGCACCAAAGTTTCCACAAGTTTAGGAAGGCTTCTCCATGACAAGGGGCGGGGGGGCAGCCTGGGAGACAGAAGAGGGAGAGGACACCCCCCCCTGCCCTGCTGCGTTTGAGGTTGGAATCCACCCCTCCCTCCTGGCAAGGGATTAAAGGCAAGGATGAGCTGGGAAGCTGCCAAGGCACTTGTGGTGGTTGGTGCTCCTGCCGTCTCGGGTTGCCAGGTCTGGATTTTGCTAATAAAAGGCTGTTCCGCAGCTCCAAGCAGCAACGCCTTAAATAAGGGGGCGTCCATCATGGCCCCCCCATGACAGGTTTTGGCCTGCAAGTGGGGGGGTGCTTTTCTGCACAGATCCACCAGCCGTCTCCAGAAAGAGAGGGATTCCCTCTGCTACCATCTGAATCTTGAAGGGACAAGGGCTGGGCAAGCCTTCCTCTCCCTAATTAGCGGCTGGGGATTAGGGAGCAGGTTGCTTCCAGGCAGCTTTGAGACTCGCTGCTTCCTCGTTACCCAAAGGAGAGGCAAACCCACAAATTCCTGCGCTCCAGGAGGAAGGCACAAATTTACAAAAGCAATGTGTGGTTTAGATACAGTGGTACCTTGGTTCCTGAACGGCTTATTTGTCGAACAAATAGGCTCCCAAACATCGCAAACCCGGAAGTAAGTGTTCCAGTTTGTGGGCGTTTTTTGGAAGTCAAACGTCCGGCGCCGCTTCTGGAATGGATTAAGTTCGACAACTAAGGTACCACTGTATAGTGTGTGTGTGTGTGTATCTCGGTCAATAACCAGTAGAAATATAGGAAGAAAGCAGAGAACATAAAACACAATACAGTGATACCTCAGGTTACATACGCTTCAGGTTACATACGCTTCAGGTTACAGACTCCGCTAACCCAGAAATAGTACCTCGGGTTAAGAACTTTGCTTCAGGATGAGAACAGAAATCGTGCTCCGGCGGCGCGGCAGCAGCAGGAGGCCCCATTCGCTAAAGTGGTGCTTCAGGTCAAGAACAGTTTCAGGTTAAGAACGGACCTCCAGAACGAATTAAGTACTTAACCCGAGGTACCACTATATAATACATTAAGTATACAATAAAATGTAGAATTAAAAACAATGTAAAATAATAATAATAATAATAATAATAATTTATTATTTGTACCCCGCCCATCTGGCTGGGTTTCCCCAGCCACTCTGGGTGGCTTCCATAGAAACCAAAAATACAGTAAAATATCACAGATTAAAAACTTCCCTGAACAGGGCTGCCTTAAGATGTCTTCTAAATGTCAGGTAGTTATTTATCGCTTTGACATCTGATGGGAGGGCGTTCCACAGGGCGGGCGCCACTACCGAGAAGGCCCTCTGCCTGGTTCCCTGTAGCTTTGCTTCTCGCAATGAGGGAACCGCCAGAAGGCCCTCAGCACTGGACCTCAGCGTCCGGGCAGAACAATGGGGGTGGAGATGCTCCTTCAGGTATACTGGGCCGAGGCCGTTTAGGGCTTTAAAGGTCAACACCAGCACTTTGAATTGTGCTCGGAAACGTACTGGGAGCCAATGTAGGTCTTTCAAGACCGGTGTTATGTGGTCTCGGCGGCCGCCCCAGTCACCAGTCTAGCTGCCGCATTCTGGATTAGTTGTAGTTTCCGAGTCACCTTCAAAGGTAGCCCCACGTAGAGCGCATTGCAGTAGTCCAAGCGGGAGATAACTAGAGCATGCACCACTCTGGCGAGACAGTCCGCGGGCAGGTAGGGTCTCAGCCTGCGTACCAGGTGGAGTTGGTAGACAGCTGCCCTGGATACAGAATTGACCTGCGCCTCCATGGACAGCTGTGAGTCCAAAATGACTCCCAGGCTGCGCACCTGGTCCTTCAGGGGCACAGTTACCCTATTCAGGACCAGGGAGTCCTCCACACCAGCCCGCCCCCGTCCCCCAAAAACAATACTTCTGTCTTGTCAGGATTCAACTTCAATCCATTAGCCGCCATCCATCCTCCAACCGCCTCCAGGCACTCACACAGGACCTTCACCGCCTTCACTGGTTCTGATTTGAAAGAGAGGTAGAGCTGGGTATCATCTGCATATTGATGGACACCCAGTCCAAATCCCCTGATGATCTCTCCCAGCGGCTTCATATAGATGTTAAAAAGCATGGGGGTGAGGACGGAACCCTGAGGCACCCAACAAGTGAGGGCCCAGGGGTCTGAACACTCATCCCACACCACCACTTTCTGAACACGGCCCAGGAGGAAGGAGCAAAACCACTGTATAACAGTGCCCCCAGCTCCCAGCCCCTCTAGACGGTCCAGAAGGATGTTATGGTCGATTGTATCAAAGGCCGCTGAGAGATCCAGCAGAACGAGGAAACAACTCTCACCTTTGTCCCTAGCTCGCCGGAGATCATCAACCAGCACAACCAAGGCAGTTTCAGTCCCATGGTGAGGCCTGAATCCCGATTGGAAGGGATCCAAATGGTCCACATCCTCCAGGCGTGCCTGGAGTTGTTCAGCAACCACGCGCTCAATCACCTTGCCCAAGAATGGAAGATTTGAGACTGGGCGATAGTTGGCCATACTGGCCGGTTCGACAGATGGATTTTTCAGAAGCGGTTTAATGACCGCCTCTTTCAGCGGATCTGGGAATGTTCCCTCACAGAGGGAAGCATTCACCACCCCGCAGAGCCCATCGCCCAGCCCTTCCCGGCTTGCTTTTATTAGCCAGGATGGGCAAGGATCAAGGAGACAGGTGGTTGGTTTCACGCGTCCAAGCAGCCTGTCCACATCCTCGGGGGTAACGGATTGAAATTGATTCCATGCAACTTGACCAGACAGAGCTCTAGCACTCTCTCGCCCCGGCCCTGCTCCCACGGTGATGTCTAGCTCCTTCCGAATATGAGTGATTTTATCTGCAAAAAACTTTGCAAAATCGTTGCAGGAGATCTTGGGGTCTTTACAAGGCCCCGGTGGTAAAGGTGGTTCTGTTAAATTGCGAACCACCTGAAAGAGTCTCCTGCTACTATTTTCTGCAGATGCAATAGAGGCGGTGAAGAAAGTCTTCTTCGCCGTCGCTATCGCCACTTGGTAGGCTCGACGTTGAGCTCTAACCTGTGTCCGGTCAGATTCGGAGTGAGTTTTCTGCCACCGACGCTCTAGCCGTCTCAGCGATTGTTTCATCGCCCTCAGCTCCGAAGAAAACCACAGGGCTGTCCGGGCTCCATGCAATCGGAGAGGGCGCTTCGGAGCCAGACAGTCGATAGCCCTGGTTAACTCCGCATTCCAGCTGTTAAAGAAACAGTGAGAAATTTAAAATAATTATATTAAAATGGTAAAAACAACAACACCACACACAATATAAGGTGTTAATAATTTAAATTAAGACAGGATCCTGCACCGGCAAGTTATTGCTGCCATACAAAAACTAGCTGCCTTGACAGAAATCTCAGGAAACGGTCGGCCAATTTGCAATTTTCCAATTTTGAGTAGAAAATGTAAAGCATGATTGCCCCCCCGGGGGGGCGGGCGTGTTCTTCAGCAGATGCAGCTTGGAAGAAAAGGCCAAGGAAGTCTGATTCCCCCGGGCATCTGGAGGAGCCAGGCTGGGCTGCTGGGCTGAGTTTAGACCCTTCTGAGCTCCAGGGCTGCTCAGTCCTGCTCTTTAGCAAGCCAGTGCCTCAAACCCAATTCCAGTTCGGCGGCAGTGGCGGCGGCTCGCCCTGCCTAAGGCCTTGATTCCTCTGCGCTCCTGCCTACACACCCAGGTGCTCTTCCTCCTCTTCTGTTACTGGATTTCCCCTGTGTGACTCTTCCTCCCATCAATCACGCCTGCCCTTCTCACCCCTTGGAACAAGGCCACTCTGGGAGCCTGCATGTTCTTCACCCTGCCAGTAGAGCAGGCAGCCCTGCTTTGCAACCAACCGGTTGGGAAACTCACCTTTTGCCAAAGCACGATGGAGAGGTGCCCAGTTTGCCAACCAATTTGATGAGGTCATTGCTGTGGGATAACCAGCCTCCAACAGGCTTAAAGTTTAATTAACTAACAAAGGGGTTAATACCATAGAGTAAGCTGTTCTGCCCAGCTTAGCTTGGACACTTCCCCTTACCTTGGGAGGAAATGGGTAATCAAGCCTATTGCTCCCCCGTATCTGAGAAGCTCAACGTGCAACATCAAACAATGGTGGAGCTTGGGGCCTCAAATTTCAGCAGTGCCTTGTGCAACACCAAAATTTGCTCCCCGCCTGTTATGTACTGAGTTGAATAGGATCCAAAAGGCAGCAGTCTGATTGGTCCTAG